TCTCCCACAGTCAGTATCCCAAGGAAAACTAAGACTCCCCGGTGAGACTTAGTAGCCTGGCAGCTCCTTTATGCCCAAGGCTCAGCTTTTCCATGGCTCCTAGACTCCCAAACAACAAGCTACAGGTGTGGTACTCAGGAGCAGGTTTAAAACTCACTCCCAGCTCTTCCGATCTCTGTTACTGACAGTTTGCTGAGCATTGGAGGGAAAGAGGATGTGGGATTTAGATCTGGACACTTCTCTTTTATTTATTTATTTAGCAATATTAAACATGCCTATTTTATAGTTATGTTTGCTTTGTTCTATTATTTCTACTTCTTGGGGGGAGGTGTTAATTGTCCTACCTATTGCTTCTATAGGAGCTCTGGTAGCATAGTGCCTAAGGCCCTTGACTGCTAACCAGAAGGCTGGTGGTTCAAACCCACCAGCCACTCCTTGGAAGGAAGGTTGGGCAATCCTACTTCCGTAGTGATACTGCCTCGGAAGCCCAAGGAGGGGTCACTATGAGTCGGGGCCAACTCGACGGCACATAACAACAAACAACATTGCTTCTATAACTCTCCTACATGATATTTTGTATTCACATGAGGTGTATAATTTTTATAGTGAGCTCATCTTTAGTGAAGGATGTTTTCTTCTGTGGGGTTCTCTGTGCCCTGGATGTATAATGTCTCAATAGAGAAGGTTTGCTTTTGTTCCAGCCAGGACTTCTGAATGGCTTATTATTCTGGACAAAGTCTCACGTAAATTCTTGACTTGGGATTCCTGAAACACACTCATGGTATAAATTTGGACTCTGAACCAGAGAGTGGCTCAGGCTTGGGGTCTCCATTTTTTATGGTGACACTATTTTTCTCACTTGCTTATCTGGGCCCTTCGGATGTGTTTGTGTGTTTCCTTGCATGGACAACACTGGTCCGTTCTGTTCTTGGCTTTATGCAGGGTAACTTAATTCTAGCTTCTTGTTTCTTTTGGGCCCAAAGATGTGTCTCCCGTCTGGTGCGACCCAATGTCCACTCCTTAGGACTTCTCTCCAGTGTGCTCACAGACAGCGCACATACCGCCGTGGCTTTGGGCTTCTTTATGGCACCTGAGAGTAAGGTTTGGCTGTCTAGTAACTTTTTTGTTGTTCTATTTTATCCAGCTATGTTTTGATACTCCTAGCCTGCCTTGATTCTAGATATAGGTGTCATTCCTCCATAATCTCTCTGGGACTAAAACGAGGTGACAAAAACTACATTTGTACAAAGCTATCCCCGTGCTTGGCAGTGATGCCCACTAGAGGCCAGTGAAGCCCTCTTGGTGCAGCAGCTCAGGGGACTGCCATGTGGCTCAGCTCCTACAGTGAGCAGGGAGCTGCTGCATGATCACCAGCTTCCTCCAGCACCATCTCCTTCCCTTTGCCCTCCAGGGTAAGGAATATACTGTTTGTCACCTTTGGGGTGGCCTTGCGTCATGTTCAGAAGGCTCTCCAAATGACTTGGGAATCCTGAAACTCATCTCTGTCTCCCTAGTCAACATCCCTGGCAGTGTCCTGCACGGTCCTCTATCCCTGCAGACTTAGCCAGGCACAGGGAGGGAGGGGTGGAGGTGCAGAGGTCATGGTGAACAGCAGCTGCCTTTTCAGTCAGTGATGGGAGATGTTAAGGGATAGAGGTGCCAGCTTTACAGAGATGTCATTAAGGAGGCCCTGACCCAGAGGTCCTTGGGACTTCCGAAGGATTGACGGAGGCCCCCTGTTGGGTCCTTTGGAAGCGTAAGGAGATGGTAGAAGGTCCCAACCAACCTGAGGGAGCTTGAGGCCAGAGTGCTCCAGACCCATGCTCTCCCCTCGCTGGTCCCTTTTTCCTTATCACTTAGGAGACTCGGCTCCGTTCCAGACCAGCAGCCTAGAGCAGTGGGCTGGAGAGAAGAGATGCCGCTGAGCTCAAGCAGCCCAGCGGCGGAAGGGAAAGTGGGTGATAAATTTAAATAACCAGCTTGACTTGGCAGCTTGCTGAGTTGTGATGCAGTGAAATTAAAATCTCGGCAGAACTTACCAACTCCACCCAGAAAAATCTGTCTCTCTCCTTGGTTGTGCGATGGAAGGTGGGGAGGGGAGGCTATCAGGCTGAGCCCTGGCCTCTGGCAGCCACCCTAGCTTGCAATGTGATTAGCTGTGTCCTGGCCCACTGGGCGCCATTCTCCCCTCCACACAATGGTCCAGGCTCCTCTTTCCTCTCAGTTCTGACCTTGTGGAACAGCTGCATCAAGTGTCTGGTGAAGTTTGAAATCAGCCTCCAGTGTCAGGAGGTGGCAGGAATATCAATAAGGTCTGGCTGTTCAGGTTAGAGTATGGCACTTCCTAGACCAGGGGCCTTAGGACTCATCCACTGAGCTCTGCAGCCTCAGCTGCCTGTCCCAGGGAAGATGAGCTGGGTGCCCGAAACTTAGGGGATGAAGAGGGCTCCTATACATCTTGGTACACCCAAACCAGGCTATGGGCACAGAGGTGACCACTCCACTCTCTCATTCTTAGTACACACCTGGCTACAATCACCTACTTGAAAGGACCTCCTTTTCTCTTTCTCCACTAAAGCCCTTACTATTCTCTAAGAAAATAAGTTTTTAAAGAATCTTTGAGTGGAATTTCTGCAAATACACTAAGTGTGTCTCCCATACTCTACCTTGCGTGGAGCAAAGTTTCACAGATGCCAACCTCTTCCGAGAAGAACTCACCGAAAGTTCACTCCTGTCTGTTCTCCTTGCACCACCACTCTCTGCTACTCACAAAGTCCTAGCCCTAAGGCCAATGTGCTAGTCCCACTCCTGAGATGGCCCACAAAGTCTCTGGGCCTTGCTCCAATGCTCACCTTGACAGTACTTCCAGCAAATTCCGTGTGTCCCCATAATAAATACATCATGAATCATTCATCTTTAATAGATTATGCAAATTAGGAGGACATAAAATCAACAAAGATCAATAACTGCAGCCGTTTAATTGCCAGCAAAAACATTTTAAGAATGAGCATAATCTGCAGCCCTTTCTCGGGTAATGGCACCATTAATCCAAACATTGGATCTTGGCCTAAGTGTAGAAAAATCATTCCCTACCCCTATCTCCACCCTATCCCACCTCCCCTCCCCCACCTTACCACACACTTCTCTCTTTTTGGTAATTTCCAGTTTCTGAGCGAGTTTCCCCGTCATTACCACTGGTGAACAGCTCTGAATGTTAATGGTTCTGCTTTTGTTACTCCTCGCTTGATTGAAATGTCGCATACAGATTGAGATGTTAGTGCTAACTTGCCACCTGGGAATGTCAAGCTGGGTCTGAAATGAACTTTTCTCACACTTGGATCCAGATGGATCAGCCAGAGATGTTCCCAGGCTGAGCTGGGACAGTTCCAGGGCCATGGGGGGGAGACGGGCGGGGGACGCTCAAGGTAGAGGCACTTCCCTGCACCAGTCCAAGTGACTCTCTTGCAGGAGGAGCCCTATCCTGCAGAGCCACAGCCCCACCCCAGGAAGCCCCTGCCTCCTGGACTGTGGTCCTGGGCACTGGGAAGCACCGTTGGGTTATAGAAAACTCCCCTGGGTTGTCTTTGGCCAGCTGCCTGGGATGGGCCATCTTTGGGAGATGACCACTGTAGCTTTGAACAGGTCAGAAAGAACATGGCCTGGCTTGGGCCATCTCTCTGCCTTGGGTCAGAGTACCCAGCAGGTCAGAGAGTGTCTAAGGTGGGTTAAGGAGGGTCATTTGTTAATCAGCTGTATCCTGACCCAGCTAACCCAGCTAAGGCTATCACCTAAAAGCCCAACCCAGCTTTCTAACACTTGTAAAACTCAAATTCTGATTGCCTAGGCTGGAAACAGTTGTCTACGACATTCTCTTAAGGCTAAGAAGAACAAGACTCCCCCAAACCTCCCTGGTGGGGACCGGGTGACTTTTCACAGCCCAGCTCAGGTCTCCGCTCCATGTCATAATTAGGGCCCTGTCCTTCAGTGAGGGCTATGGCTGCTTCCTGCCTTTGCTGCTGGCTGTGATGCTAGCTGCCTGCAGCCCCGCTACCAGGTCCCCAGGCCGCCTCCATGCTCCTCGCTCAGAAGGTAACGCCTCAGTGTCTCCCCATCCCCTCTGAGACCCTTCTCAATCATCCTGTCTCCCAAGGAACAAACGGCACATTGGCTTTAGTGTCTCCAGAATAATTAGGTGAATTTTAATAACACCTCAAAGTGTGTCTCTCCCACTTGGGCACTTTCCTGGCCCGGAAACCCTTCTGCAGCGCCAGGCGCCTTCTGCAGCCCGCAGCTCTGCAGCCTGGGCCTCCTTCACCGGACCTTCCCTGAGCCACCTCAGCCTCCCTCTACTGGAGCTGACCCTGCTGCTCCTAACCCATGGGGGCTCCTGGCCGTGTTGCCCTCACCCAGCATTGGACTAGGGTCAGGCCTGAGCCTGCCTAGCCTAGAAAGCAAACCTTGGGCTCGGGCGACTTTCTCTAGGAGCCAGAAAAGCTTTTCCACAACTCCACAGAGCTAGGGGCATGCCCTCAAGGCCACAGCCATGCACACTGCCCAGACAGGGAGAAAAGTGGATCCCACAGGAGCCTCGAGGAGCTCCCTGTAGGCAGGACACCGGGAACTCATGGTCTTCTTTTGCCAGCCTGGCGTATGCACCCTGTGTTCTCCTACAGACGTCCTAGCAAGAGGCCCATAATTCTGGGCACTTTCGGAGATGCAGAGAAAAGACAGAGAGAGGCAGGAGGACAGGCAGAAAGAACCAGCCACAGCCTCTCCTGGCCCCAAGACACCTTTCCAAGCCAAAGCCCACATACACTCTCGCCACAATTTTTTCTCCCCACATCTGCACACATCTGTTCTGGAAGCACCCTGGTTTCTGGAAGCTTGCTCTGTCTGCAGATGTTATGGAGGGGCCCACTTGCCACACCAGGTCCCTGATGCTATGGGTTGAGGGACCCCTGTTGCAAGCAGAGCCTTCACCCTCCTAGAAGCCCCCTTACCAGTCACAACAGGGTATGTCTGCGTGCCTGACACGTTGCTACCCAGCTCCGGGTTGGCGGATGCAGATAGACTTGACTTGACTTCATCAAGCCCAGGGGTCAGGGCTGGGAGGGAGTACTCGTTCCCCTGGGAGGAGAGAGAAAAGCGACAGCTCTCTATTGATGTGTACACAGAGAAAAGGCTTAGTGTGCAGATGGGGAGGAGGACCGGAGCCCTCCCAGATGGGGTGGAAGGAGCCGGCCTGGCAGAGGGAGGGGAGCGCCAGGGGTGGGCTCGGCACATGATGGGGGGTGGGGGCAGCCCTGACTTTGTGAGGCTGGAGGTGCAGCTGACGTACTAGGAGTGGCTGCCCAGAGCCCTTGTAAGTTTCTGTAGCATCTTCTGCCTAAGAAACCCCAAGGGCGGAGTCAGGTAGTAGGGACTCCCTACTGACAGCTAAGAGATATTTCAAGGGACCCTGGGGTGGGAGCCTTGGCGAAGGGGGCCAACCATGACGTGATGGCAGAGGCAGTGGTTGGGGAAAGGGCCTAGTGGGACCTCCAGCCTGGCACTGCTGGGCCGGCTGATCGGGTACGGGTGCCCCTTTTTAAAAAACAAACAAAGACAGCCCCACGGGCCTCTTGCTCTCTGCCTGTGCACTGGGGTATGAAATTGGGGAGGGGGAGAGTCCACATGGCTAACAGAAGGGTGGGAGGGGGCCCGTCATTGACTCTGAAAGGGTGTCCTGCCCGAAACACTCGGGTAATTGCCTTTTTATTGCAGCCACCGCCAAGCCAGACCCCAGAGCCGGGCCGACCAGGAGCCTGCACAAAGCAGGAAAAGTTGCTCTGATTAATATTACGTTAAATTAAAACTGATTTTCTGCTCTTTCTGGTCCGTTTTTTTCCCTTCCGCTTCCTGGCCCCCCCAGAGGGTCCCCTCCCCTCCCTGGCTGGACGGGATTGCCTCGTCATTTCCAATTCCTTCTCGTATTGATCTTCCTGTAGAAATCAGTTTTGTAATTAGCTGCAAATTAGGCCTTCTACTGGGGGTGAAGCTGCCCCCTGATTTATCACCAGAGTAATTCGCTGTGATCGGAGAGAAATTAAAATGAACTCAATTAGGCTTCGGATTTGCTTTATGGGCCCTGCTCCGAGTTTCAGGGGGAAAAATGACTGTGCTGGTGTTTAATAGTCTAATGAAAGTAAATAAAGGTTATTCATTGTAATACAGCCGGGGACTCGGGGAGGGTGCACTGAGCCGCCCGCCTTGGCCGGCTCCTCCTTTGTTGGTTTATGGCTCAGGGCACCTTAAAAAGACTTTTGATTTTTGTTTTATGAAGACAAACAGCTTATGGGATAAAAGGACGGGCGGGGAGGAAGCCAAGTGGCTGGGAGCTGTTGGAGTCTTAGAGCGGAACTGTGCAGCGTGGAGCCTGAAAGCTGGCTGGTGGACACGCATGTGTGTGTGTGTGCGCGTGTGTGTGCATGCGTGCATGCACGCGTGTGTAAGCACAGCACATCGTATAATAGTGCTGTGGTTGTGGGTCTGGCCTGGGCTGGACCTGTGAGAGGAATGGGTGTGTGGTCCTGGGTTTTCAGGTGAGGCCCTGGGCACTATACCGATGTGTGGGTGGAGGTGTGTGCCGGGATGTGTATGGAGCTAGTGATCTGGGGACATTCACCCTCCAGCTCCACATGGCTGATGGGGTTCTGCTGTGAGTACTGTGGACTATCAGTGTGTCAGGGAGGGAGCACTTGAGTGGGATGGAGCATAATCATATGCACACGTGTATGTGAGGAGTTAATTAGGAGCCATGTTTCTGCACATTGTGTGTTGTGCCGGTGTGGTGGGTGCATGTCCCATGCTATGCGTTCTGGACAGTTTTGCATCTGCAGGAAGTGTGGGGTCTGGCTGGCAGGCAACCAGCCTGCCTGTGGACACATTGGATGGCTGTATTGGGAGCAGGAGGCAGGCACAAGAGTGTCTTGACACTTAACAAGAAGAGCCCCATGGACTTGCATGGGCTTGTTGTAGGGCCCTGGGAGGACTTGGGTTGGAGACACAGCAAGGGAACATCCCTGAGTGCTCCATGCCAGAACCGCAAAATGATAGCACTGGAAGGAACTTGTTAGACCATTATGTTCAAGCCCCTAATTCTATAGACGGAGAAAATGAGGCCCCCAAAGAGGATACGATTTACCCCAAGGCCTTACTCTTGTACCCAGCTCTCATCACTTCTAACTGCTACATATCATAATGATATTTCTTAACTGTACCCTAATGTCCTTGCAAGAGGAAATTCGCACAGCACACTCCCAATGTAACACATGCAGGTGGCTGAGTCGTGTGCAAGTTCTCGAGAGGCCTTGTTCTGAGCAGTTCCTGTCTCTGAGAAGAGAAGCACCTTCCTCACCTGTTCTGACTTGATGTGCTCTGATGCCTGGAAGACGTCGGGATAGGAAGGACGCTCAAAGACCCGATCCAAAGCTTCCAGCTGCTGCTGGGTGAAGGTGTCGGCTCGCAAGTGCTTCCTCAAACTGTCCACGCCACTCTGGGAGTCTCCGTTGGGGACGGAGCCCTCAGAAACATCTGGAGGACACACAGACACCTGGAGCATCAGTCCCAGGCCAGTGGAGGCTCAGGAGTGGCACAGTGGGCAAAAGGGTGGTATCGGGCTCTCCCTTTGGGGCTTTGCACCCTTGCTCAAGCCCCTTGCTCCCAGCTTCTAGGCTGGAGGGGCTGGCCTAGTAAGCTGGTCATGCCTCAGAGGCCTGGCTGAGGAAGCCAGAGTCTCAGAAGACCTGGGAAGAGAAGGGGAGGGAAGCTGACAGTGTGGGGGGTGGGGGTTGGAAGGACTGGGCAGAGGTGGAGCAGAAGGCTCCCAGAGGCCCTCTCCCAGAAGCTATCTCCCCTCCACCCCCCTCTCTCGCCCAGCTGGGGTCCCCTGGGGAAGCAGCTGGGTGACTCAGACTGGCATCACCGAGCCTGTGGAGAATTGAACTCGGCTCCAAGATGAATTTCAGTTCCACTGATTCCAAGGGTTGAAAATCATCAAATCTCCGAGGCTGAGTGTAACACAGAGCTGAGTGAAGTAATTAACTTCACCCCTGCGGGAGGAGGGCTTCTGAAAGCAACATGAAGGCATTTCACTAGGGTTGGCCCAGCAGATGGAGCCGAGGAGAGCAGGTGTCATGGGAGCCGTAAAACACCTAGTAGGACAGGACTATAGACGGGGGTTTTGTGGCTGCTGCTTGGCCCCTGGCCATCTTCTTTTCCTCTGTCCCTGGCCTAGACTTGGACTCAGTCAAGGGTCAGTCAGCTCCTTGGCCACCTAGTTCCTCCACTGGTCTCCACAGGGAGCAGAGACTTCACCCACCAAGGAAAGGCCACTAGTGCCCTCTCCATGGGGACATTCTGTCTCTAGGCTTTCTCATGAATCTCTTATCCCTGCCCTTCTGTCCTTGCCTTCCTGCATCAGGCCTGTGGTATTTTCAGAGTGCACAGTGGGCCACGTGTCTCCTCTGCTGAGTCGCCCTGGATTCCAGCCCTGCAAACATCCTGGCCCAAAACTGGGTCCTCCCCAGCCCCGGCTTGGCCACTCCTTGGCTGAGGAGCCTTGGGCCTGGGGCCAGCCCATGCTGTAGGCCCCAGGGTTTTCCTCTGGGACTGTTATATATATCAGTTTATAGGTGATTATATGATATGATATAATCAATATTGCATTATATACAGTAACAACGTACAGTATCATTCGGGAGACCATAGAAAATATTACATATTGATTAACCTCAACTTGCAGTCAGCCTCCCTCGCTGGCCTCCCAGATGGAGCACGAGGGTTTGGCTTCTTAACAGAGCCTCCTCTCTTCCCTCCACTCTGTTCTGGAGGGGATGGGAAAGCAAAGAAAGTGTGTGTGTGTGTGTGTGTGAGAGAGAGAGAGAGAGAGAGAGAGAGTAAAAGAGAGAAAGGGAGAGAGAAAAATCAAGACCAGGATCAAATGAAGGCAGACAGACAGACATAGAGCCTTGCTATTCCTATGGACATAAACTTGGTTGTATTTATTTATTGTATTTTGTCTCCGTGTGTCTGTAAAAGCCTCCGGAGTCATTTTCGATCTTAGAGGGTACACCCAGCCCTGTGTGAGTTGGGGTGGGCATATTTCTTTTCCCTGTGCCTGCGTGTATTCCCTGTGTACATGCATTAGCATATATACAAACATCTATATGAAATAAGTGTCTGTATGTGTGTTTAACTGACAGGGTGAGAACCTGTCTGAAAGAATATGTGTGCGTGTGTGTGTGCGCACGTGCGTGATCACCTGGGATGTGTGAATATGTGAGCGCGGGTCTCCCCGGTTTCTCCTGTGCCTGCTTTTTTTTCCAGGAGGTGCCACGATCCTAATGCCCCTTCTTGTAGCTATTTGCATGTTCCATTGTGTCTAATTCTCTCTTCCCGGAGTCCTCCTACCTTTCTGCAAAGCCCTGCCATCAGGGTTGAGGGAGGCAGGGAGTGTCTTTGTGTGTGCTAATGGCAGTATCACCAAATGGGTTCTGGGAAGGAAAGTGTGCATTTGTCTGTGAGCATGTGCTGACACATTACATATGTGTGTGTGTGTGTAGTGTATGACAAGACTCACACCATGCTTCTGTGTACATTTGTGTATATGCCTGTGTGTGGCTTGGCTCACCCCATGCCTCATTCTCTGTGTGTGTGTGTGTATGTGTGTGTAGGGGCTGAACTGAAGCTTTGTCCTCAGGTCACTGGCTGGAGGAGTCTCTTTTCCTTCATTTATTCAGGGGCCCTTCAGATCTTGACAAATCTGTCACTCTAAATTTGCGAGAGATTATGGTGCTCTCTCCCCAGCCCGCAGAGAGGTGATATATGATATCTGCTGCCCCTATTGATTGCCTGATCTGGTGGCAGAGGCCGGCGAAATGAACTTGAAATGAACATCATGCCTCAACTCATTGTGCGTATAATACACTACTTAATCCCACATTTTTCAGCCGCTATGGAATTCAATTGATCAATCATGTTCCACTGATAGTACTGTTTTAGGGGTTATTGCTGCTCCCTCCACTCGCTGACCTTTTTATTTATTTATTTTTTTGTATACTCGGGTCCTGGTAGTAAGACAGGTTACAGAGGCAGCAGAGGAGAGAGAGGGGGAGGGAGGGGAGGGAAAGACCAGAGGAAGTCTGCTACTGGAAGAAGTGGCAGGAGGAGGCGGGGAGAAGGAAGGAAGAGAAGGAGGAATGGGGGGTGGGCAGAGGGAAAAGGAAGCTGGAGGAGCAGGTGGAAACATACAGAGGACCCTGAGAGAAGCTGGAGGAGACGCCCCAGAGGAGAAGGAAGGCGAGAAGGAGGCGGGAAGGGCAGCAGAAATGATGAACGGTGAAGGAGCACAGAGAAAGTTATGGGGGGCAGGGAGAGGGCACTGGCATTACTGGTAAGGGTAGGGAGGCAGCCCCCCAAAATCAGCAAAAGATCCTGTATGCCCATAGGATCTCTCCAGAGGAGAGGGGTGATGTCCTGAGGAGATCAGTGTGGGAAGGAAGGGAAGAAGGCAGGCGAGGAAGAAGGGCAGGAAGGAGTGAGGTAAGAAGTTTGGGAGAAAACCCTGGTGTCAGAAGATCCAGTCCAAGCAGGAGAAGCTTAGGGAAGAGGGAAGGACAGAGAGGGGAGAAAAGAAAGGCAACAGCCTCCCACACCAGCAGCCTGAGCCAGCCCTGGTTGAAGGAGGACACGCGCCACAGGAATTAAACGAGCTGCTCTGCTGTGGCTGAAGCCCGGGGTTCTAGCTAAGCAGGGCATCCCAGGGCCTGGATGGGGGGGGTGGAAGGGAAAAGAAAGAGGGGGAGCAACACAAGACAGTAGAGGAGGAGAGGTAGAAAAAAGAGGAGACCAAGGAAGAAGAGACTAGAAAAGGAAGAAAATGAGCACTTGTCAATGCTGACCACCTGCAGGGACCTCCCAGATGACAGAGGCTCAGGGGTTGGAACTGGACCACGGCTAGGCCCACAAGTTGAAGGGCTTTCCTAAAGTAGAAGAGGAGGCAGAAGTAAGCCTTGATCCAGGTTTCAGAGTGAGCAGGGAAGGGAAGTGTGTGAGTAATTAGATACCATCCATCCCAAAGAAGGTTCTTCACCCATCAGCTCTGGGTGCCAAGCAGCCAGACTGTGAGCTCCTGAGAGCAGGGCCATGGCTGGTGTGTTTCACCAGGCATGGAGCTGGGTATGTAGTAGGTACTCAGTAAATGAATGATTGAATGAATGAAAGAAGGAAGGAATAAGGCTCTCCTAGGTGGTCTGGTGGTGTAGTGATTAAGGTATTTGGCTGCTAACCAAAAGGTCTGTCGTTCAAACTCACCAGCCACTCTGTGGAAGAAAGATGGGGCAGTCTGCTTTTGCAAAGATTTACAGCCTTGGAAACCCAGTGAGGGTCGCTATGAGTCAGAATCGACTTGATGGCAGTGAGGCTTTTTCTTGTTTGTTTTAGGTAGCATTCAAAGGTGGAATGGCCACTTAATTGGGCTGGCAGCCTAGGACACCCAGTCACTGGGAAGGCCAGTCCTACGTATCTCTGGTTGTTGTTGTTAGGTGCCGTCGAGTCGTCTCTGACTCATTGTGACCCCATCCGCAGCAGAACGAAACACCGCCTGGTCCTGAGCCAGCTCCATGATTCTTGCTGTACTTGAGCCCATCACTGCTGCCACTGTGTCAGTCCCTCTCGTTGAGGGCCTTCCTCTCTTTTGTCGACCCTCCACTGTCTCTGTGCTCTTTCTCTATTCCCATAGAATGTGGGAAGAACCTGCAGCAGCCCTGGGAAGACTTATACCCCTTCTTCACTTACCCCCACTGCATGTCACCTTCTGATAGCATCAACTCTGGTCCATAAGAGACCCTTTCCTCTCTCAGCCACACCATCCTCCCCATGTATGGTGCTTTTACCCAAAGGACAGAGAACACTAAATTCTCCATTAAGTGTAGAACTTAACCTTTGCAACTGCAGCACTGCCATCCAAAGCAGGTGGCCCAGACTCTTTGAGAACAGGGCCCAGAGATAGCCTCTACATTTGGACTCCTCTTACTATAACTCAAAGGAGCTCTGGTGGTGTAGTGCCTAAGACATTTGACCACTAACCAGAAGGTTGGAGGTTCAAATCTATCAGCTGCTCCATGGAAGGAAGATAGAGCTATCTACTTCTGTAAAGATTTACCACCTTGGAAACCCAATGGTGGTTGCTATGAGTTGAAATTGATTCTATGGCAGTGAGTTTGGTTTTTTTTTTTTTTTTTGGTTTTAACTACAGCTCTGGTCACAGAGAGGAGAGATGGGATAAAATGAGTCTATTTACCAGTGATGTGGAGCCAGTCCTAGAGAAAGCCTTTCCTAAATGATAGAAGGACCCTGAGAGAGGCTGGAAGAGGCTTGAGGAGACTCCTCCGAGGAGAAGGAAGTGAGGAAGAAGCGGGAATAACAAAATATGACGAATGGCAAAGGAGCACAGAGAAAGGTACAGGGGCAGGAAGGGGGCTGGAATATGGTGGCTCTACGTTCTGGGCTTTCTGGAACAATTCTCATTTCAA